CAAAGTCTGCACTACTATTAAACTTCTCATCACTCCTTATCACCCCTCCCCTCCCACTTGTGACTGTATGACTGTAACCTTGTCGCTTGTATCCTTATGATTTATATTGACTGTTTCCTAGTATGATTGGATGGCTTATTGTACCCTATGACTATCATTAAGTGTTGCACCTGATGATTCTTGACTCCTGATGAAGGTATCTTTTCCTTTATGTGCACTGAGAGTATTTGCACCAAGACAAATTCCTTGTGTGTCCAATCACACCTGGCCAATACAGAATTCTATTCTATTCTATTCTATTCAAACTGTAAGATGCTGAATCATAGACTTATTCCAGTTGAATGTTAGAAGGAACTTCCTAAAGGTTCCTAATTTGAGAAGTTAGGATTCCAGTAGAGTAGAGTAGAGTAGAGTAGAGTAGAGTAGAGTAGAGTAGAGTAGAGTAGAGTAAGAGAGTTGGAAGGGACCTTGGAGGTCTTCTAGTCCAACCCTTTAATAAGGCAGATGACCCTACACCACTTCAGACAAATGGTTGTCCAATCTCTTCTTTAAAAACTTCCAGTGTTGAAACATCCACGACTTCTGGAGGCAAGTTCCCAATTAGTCTAGGATTTGGATATTTTTTGGCCGCAGACAAAAATAACAGAAGCACCTAGCGTGGACTTAAAATTTATTCCAAGGGACTTTCCATCAGGGAGAAACGAGGAAAGCCGCCAGCAAAGGGAACTCGCTCTAAATTTGGATCCTCCCATTTTCTCCATTACTTTCTCAATGGGACTTCGGTTTGCATGTCCCACCCATGTCCTTTTGAGCCGTTCCCTTTTGCTGTAAGATCGTTTTTTAAACCGCCCTTGTTCATCCTGTCAGGCCCAAGGCCTGGTGAATAATTTAGTGCGCGTATTCAACAAGGCCTGGCTGGGTACCTCTGCTTCCCCCGGCAGAGCCAGGAGCGCGCGGGACACAGCTGGATTGGAAGGCGATGAAAAATGTATGAACGCCAAGAGGGGGGGACATATGGCTGAGTTATTTCCTCGCTTTTCCGGCACCCTGGTTACACATCCCAACATCGCTCCGCAGAACCTCCAACTTCTCAGCAGGGAAACCGGGCGAAAGCCCCAGACCGCCTTACGGGAAATAATAACGTTCTCTGGCATTCTCCAGGCACCAATTGTGTGTCAACCTCAGACACACCTGAGGTCTGTTCACCTGCCAGTGCATAAAAGCAGAGGAGCTGGAAAGTGGGAAGACATGTTTTTGGTGAGGGGAGCATAGTGATTCACACCAAAAGCCGGCCCAGGGGCTTGGACCACAGAAGGTGGAAACTCTCAAAGAGCAGCCAAGATGGAAGGGCCAGGAAAAAAAGAGACTTTGGCCCTGGATGGATTCCAAGAGTGACCTTCATTCAGACGACATCTTTTATCTTCTGCCTCCTTTTCTATACTTGCCCTAGTTTGGGGGGTGAGTGGGTCTTACTTTGGTTCTTGGGAGTCCAAGGAAGGATGCTCTGGATTTGGGGATTTTCAAGTTTAGGACAGAATAAACAAAGCAATGGTGAGGGGCTGAGTAGTAAATCTATTCATTTCTTGATTGCAATTCAGGCTAGTTAATAAATTATGTTCCCAATCAGGACAGTTACACATGGGGGGGGGGAGCGTTTGACAAAAAAAAACACCTCACCCGGCTTCTTCTTTTTTCTTCTCCTTCTTTCTCCTCCTCTTCCTCCTCTCCCTCTCCTCCTTTCTCTTCCTCTTCTTTCTCCTCCTCTCCTCCCCTCTTCTTCTTTCTCCTCCTCCTCTTCTCTCCTCCTCTTCCCCCTCCCCCCACTCCCTTCCTCCTGCTGTTCTTCTTTCTTTTCCTCTTCCTCTTCTCTCTCTCCCTCCTCTTCTTTCTCCTCCTCTGCCTCCTCTCCTCCTCCTCCCCGCTCTCCCTCTTTTTCTTTCTCCTCCTCCTCTTCTTCCTTTTCTTCTTCTTCTTCTTCTTCTCTCCTTCTCTTCCCCCCTCCCTTCCTCCTGCTGTTGTTCTTTTTTTTCCCCTCTTCCTCCTCTTCTCCTCACCCTTCTTGATGTCAGATTTTAATTCCCCAACCCTGGATATTCTCTCAACCTGATTTAAATGTTCCTGTTTCCAAACACCCAAAGGGGCTGAGGTCTTCAGAGGGGGAGGTCTCTTGAAAGAAAGGGAAGGGAACGCAGAGTTCTCACCAAGCGTTTTTCTCTTTTATGAGGGGGTGCTCCGTTGCTGGCAAAAGGTGCTCATTATGGACCATTATACCTTTTCCGTCTCAGTCGGGTCAAATCATTTGAGCAAACAAAGATAGATCCGGCTCAACCAGCCTTGGAAAGAGAGGAACAAAAAGGAACAGCTTTTCTTTTCTTCTGGGTAGTAATTGATTTAATTGGATTTCTGAGATCAAAAGCTAGAAGCCGCCTTTTAAAACACCCTTGACTCCTCTTCGCTCTTTCATTACCAACTCTTGAGGTGGGGGGGTCCCTGCTGTGTAAAGAAAAAAGGCCATCGGCTCTACCTTGCCATTTGGGGTGTTTTATTTCTCCATCCAAAGAGAGAAGTGCACCTTTGGCTAATGGGCCATTGAAGCCTTGGGCGCAAAGCCTATTCTACATAACAAAGATCCACTTCCTTCAGGCAGAGCCATTTCATAGTCTTTCACTGCACCACCCACCAAGTTTCAACCAAAACGTAGCACACAGACAGCCTACAGAGTTAGCTACGACCCCTGGCAGCAACCAGTCAGGGGTTCTGACCCAAACCCTTCTCCAATAAAGCAAACACAAACCAAAGGAAACAGAAACCTGTTTAATCCTCCCATCCTTCTTTTCACCCATCTCCTCCCACTTATGACTGTGTGACTGTAACTTTGCCACTTGTATCCTTACGATTTTTACTGACTGTTTCCTAATATGATTCAATTGCTTACTGTACTCTATGACTATTAGTAAGTGTTGTACTTTATGATTCTTGACTCTTAACGAATGTATCTATTCTTTCATGTACACTGAGAGCATTTGCACCAAAGACAAATTCCTTGTGTGTCCAATCACACTTGGCTGATAAAGAATTCTCTATTCTATTCTATTCTATTCTATTCTATTCTATTCTATTCCATTCCATTCCATTCCAATTCCAATTCCAATTCCAACTCCAATTCTACTCTACTCTACTCTACTCTACTCTACTCTACTCTACTCTATTCTATTCCTAATTTATTCTATTCTATTCTATTCTATATTCTATATTCTATATTCTATATTCTATATTCTATTCTGTTCTGTTCTATTCTATTCTATTCTATTCTATTCTATTCTATTCTATTCTATTCTTCTATTCTATTCTATTCTATTCTATTCTATTCTATTCTATTCTATTCTTATTCTATTCTACTCTAATTCTATTCTATTCCTAATTTATTCTATTCTATTTTATTCTATTCCTAATTTATGCTATTTTATTCTGCCCTGCCTTCACTCTGACTGTCCTTAGATATTTGAAGCAGCATATTCTGTCTTTCCGCTCCTTTCTCTCTCAGAAACCCTCCTTGGGACAGGCTCAAATTTGACACATTCCTTCCCAATGTGCCGTGCTCAGAACCGGATGTCCAGTCTGCAACCCACCAATAGGTCCACGGAAGATGCTAAGCCAATTTCTGAACCTGTCAATGGGACGGGCGAAAATCTGATTTGCGCCTCTCCATTTTGGAGTCTCTACTTTCATCCTTCCCCAAACAGGAAGGTGCTGGAAAAAAAAGGACCCAGGCCCTCACCGGCTGTCCGAACCTTACGCCGAGATTTTGAAATCGGGCCAAAGACAGCCTATTTTCTGCCACTAGGAACAAACCCAAGATTCCTAGAAAGCCAGAAGCAGACTGGACACAGCATGGAGCCCATTGCTATGGTGTGCAATCTGTGCTACGAGTTAATTAACTTGCTTAATTACCATTCTAGTGTGTCTTTCTAAATTTGAATACCTATACCGTTTTGTCTGTCTGTCTTCTGGGGGGGGAAAAAGGGGGGGGGAGAAAGAGAGGGAGGAAGAGAAGGTGGAAGAGAGGAAGAGGAGGGAGAAAGAAGGAGAGAGAGGGAGGGAGAAAGAGGGAGAGAAAGAGAGAAGGAGGGAGGGAGGGAAAGGGAGAAAGAGGGAGAGGGAGGGAGAGAAAGAGAGAAGGAGGGAGAGAGAGAGGGAGGGAGAGAGAGAGAAGAAAAACAGAGAAAACATGGACAAGTGCTGATTTTTCTTTTCTAACAGTTCATTTAGTGACCGTTGGAAGTTACGAGAGCACTGAAAAAAAAAGTGACTCAGCATTGTTTTTAGGACCGTCACAACATTCCGCATTGTCATGTGCTCGAAATTCGGATGCTTGGCAACTGTTTCATATTTATGTCTGTTACCATGTCCGGTGTGTGTGTGTGTGTGTGTGTGTGTGTGTGTGTGTATCACGCAACCCCACTTTTACGACCGTCTGACAAGCAACGGGGAAGCCCGATTCGCTTAACAACCGTGTGACTAACTTAATAAGCAGAGAAAAGCATCAGAAGGCAGAAAAATCAGAAGAAATTAAAAGTAGAAGGTGAGGAAAGGCGAGGGAGCCTGACTGGATCTAAGGGAGGCCCAATGATGCTTCCTTCAATTCTCCCTACCTTTGCAACTGCAAACCATCCTTGGAAAACTATCATTGTTTCTGTCACTACTAACGGTCCAAGCTAATCGGCAGTAGATAAGAGTCAGTGGAACTCAAGGAGGGCTGGGCGTGGATCTTTTGTGGGCACGAAGGGACTCGTGACTGATGGCACATTTGACGCCTCCCTCAGGCTCAGCCTGGTCCTCTCCTCCGGAATTCCCACTGTCATCCGAGCAGGAACAATCTCAATGGCATCAGTTCCATTTTTCCCAACCTTTTTAGCTCTTGCCTTCACAATTAAACCGGTCTCTTTGCTTCTTTTCGTGCCTTGATCCCAGTCATCCTTTCCCCCCGTCTTCGCTCCTACCCGTTTTCTCTTCGTTTTCTCCCGCGTACATCATCTCTTCTCCTTCCCTTTGATGCATTAATTCCTTCTGTTTATTATTTATTTCTGCTGCTTTCCAAGCAGCCATCTTCCATATGCCATGGTCAACAGCAGATGGTCCCATAAATATTGATCTCCACCCACCGGCCCACCCCACGTTTTAGCAAGAGAAGAGAAGGCGCAGGCCACTTCATCTCCGTCGTGCCCGTATCCCTCTTTGAACAATTAGAACTGAAGTGGCCCGTTGTGGCATCCCGTGGCCAATCTTCCACAAAGCCAATTTTACCCCAAGCAAGCCCCACATTTCCTCAGGAAAGAATTTAAGAGAAGTTACCGCAGCCACCCCCTATTGCTACCGGCATCCTGTCGTCTCCAAACTACAGGCAAGGAAATGACTCACTCAGGAGGAGACAGTTTGCGTGCTTAAATTAAACGAAGGCCCCAGAGAAATGTCCCACTTACTTTGCTTTGATGGGAGAGGGCTCGAAATTGGCGGAGCAGAGGTGGGAATCTTCCAAGCTTCACGAAATGGTCTAGGGGATCCCCGTTGCAATAAAGGCAGGCAACGATTCCTGATTAAATAGCAAAACTGCAGGCGAGCCATGAAAGGCACAAGTGTTCTTCTTGGATTTATTGCTTTTTATGAAATGAAATCTTATCTCGAAGTGGCAGGGAGGCCTTTTTATTCTCCGGCGGACAGGGACAGAAAAGCGCCAAGCTCTCTTCTCACCCAGCCTACCCCCACAACTGCCGTATGCAAGATAGAAAGGAAATGGAGACCACCTGGGCCTGAGTTTGTCCAGGCAGGGCACGTCGTTTCCAGCCACTGGTGATGCCCTGCCCCGCCAAACAGCCGGTTGGCATCACACGGCTGCGTTCTGAATCGTTGCTTCTTTGGAGTCGAAGAAAAGTTTTCTTTGGCAGTCCAAACATGCTTGCAAAAGGCACGAGTTGAGCTTTTGCTGGCTGGGCATCATGGGAGCTGGAATTCAACCTCTCTCTGGAAGGGAACGTGGAGCAGATGGCTGGGCATATTTGAGCAGCGGCCTGTCCAGCTGTTTGCTGAAGGCTTCTGGAAAGAGATCGCCCATCAAGAGATCGCCAAGCCAAGAGAGAGATGGACTTTTCTTGATGTTTAACCTCCAGAGAGCTGATGTGGACAGTGAGAGTTGGTCCGACAAAGGTCCGTTTGAAGACGGGGTTAATTCTCTCCGCCTAACACACGGCAGGATTTTTAGTGTCCGTACTACACAGCCCATCCACTGCAATTCTCTGAAATGATCAGACATCCAGCCCTTGCTTATCCATGGAGCAAGTGGCCAGTTTTAAGTTTCTGGGTGTTACCTAAAAAGAGGACCTGACCTGGGGTGCCCACATTGCAGCCCTGGTCAAAAGGGACCAGCAGAGATTATACTACCTGAGAGTTCTCAGGAAAGAACCCCTGAATGAAAAACTGCTGGTGACCTTCTACTGCTGCACCATAGTGAGTATCTTAACTTACTGCACATCTGTATGGTTTGCCAATTGCACAGTGGCAGATGGGACAGCACTCCAGAGGGTGAACGTCATTGCCCAGAGGATCATTGGTTGCCCTCTCCCCTCTTTGGAAGAGCTTTATAGCTCTCACTGCCTTAAGAAAGTTCAAAACATCCTTTAAAGATCCATCTCATCCTGGGCACCCCCTTTTTTTTTTAACTATTACCATCTGGCAGACGGTACAGAATAATAAAAACAAGGACAAATAGGCTGAAAAACAGCTTCTATCCCAGGGCAGGAGCTCTGTTGAATTCTGCTGTATAGTTGGCGTGGTGCTGGGGTTTTCAATTCAATGTGTGGAAGGTGAAGGATGTGTGTTTGTGCTTATTTTCACGGTCATGATGCACACTGAAGAGGGTGTTTGATTTTGTTGTACGAGGGGCAATGACAATAAAGTAAACTACACTAAACGACTCCGCAGCCCAACACGGGAATCTCCCTGGTGGGGAAATCCATGGCCAGACCCTTCTCCTCAACCTGGCTCAGTGACCTAGCGACCCCACAACTGACTTCAGCAACCAACTGCACTGTGTGCTTGAACACGCCATTCCCCTTTGCCCCTAATTAATTACGTCTTCCCCTACTTAGTGAAGAAATAAATCAATGTCCAGCCAACTGCTTAGGAGTATACGAACACCGCCTCCGGCAGACTTGTTGGCAGAAAGCAGAGAGCAGAGGCTGGATGGCCATCTGCTAGAGAGACACAGAGTAGATGATGGTTGCCAGTTCCCTGGGCAACTTTTGAAATGTGTGTGGACTTTTGAACAATGGCTGTGAGGGGCTGGGGAATTCTGGGAGTTGAAGTCCATCTAGTGACTCGGGAATGCTGGACTAAGATGACTCCAAAGTTTGCCCTGACTGGGGGATTCTGAAGAAAAGACGTGATGAGATCATCCTGGTGCCGGAGTGGGAGAAGTTAACTCTGGACTGAGCATAATATTGCACTATACAGTAGAATTCAATGGAGTCACTCCCTGGGAGATAATAGCTGTTTTTCAGCCTATTTGTCCTTGTTTTTATTGTCCTGTATCGTCTGCCAGATGGTAATAGTTCAAACAAAGGGTTCCCAGGATGAGTTGGATCTTTGAGAATGTTTTGAACTTTCTTAAGGCAGCGGGAGCTATAAAGCTCTTCCAAAGAGGAGAGAGGGCAACCCATGATCCTCTGGGCAATGACATTAACCCTCTGGAGTGCTTTCCTATCTGCCACGGTGCAATTGGCAAACCATACAGAGGTGCAGTAAGTTAAAATGCTCTCTATGGTGCAGCGGTAGAAGGTCACCAGCAGTTTTTCATTCCGTTGTTGTTTCCTGAGAAGTCCCAGGTAGTATAGTCTCTGCTGGGCCCTTTTGACCAGGGTTGCAATGTGAGCACCCCAGGTCAGGTCCTCTTTTAGGGTATTCAGGCAGTTCCAATGAGATTTCTTGCAAGCTTAAGGTCTCCACAAGAATCTGAGCTACCAACAGTCAAGGGAAATGAGAGGGAGATAAGTCAGGAATTCATGGTGGGCTGGACTTAGATCTTTCGCAGTCACATAGAAACTCATGACTTATGATGTGTTTCACCCCTCCTTCAGTTCAGGCTGGTTATCTTCTACAAAGGACAAGTGAAAAGGGGGGGGGGGGGAATGAGATGGGTACCAGGGCTCGATCCTTGGAACTCTTCACCCCACATCAGTGGGCAGTATGGCCTGGTCTTCATGCCTTCTGCCCCAACTGTGGTCAGATGCAGCCAAGTCCACCCAGATGTGTCCAGTCCATCCTACAAACTCTTGAGGACGCGACCCTCCGTGGTTTTCCAAAGCAACTGCATGACGAAGCCGAAGGACCCATGGAAATTTCACACCCCCCACCCATACAAAAACACTTAGTAACACAAGCAAAAGAGCCAAAATGGAGCATCTGGGCACCCTATAAATACAAATAAAGTACAAACAAGTCTAAGAAAAGAAACTATGGTGGGAGGAGGCCTGAATTTCTCTCACGCACAATAACAGAAATGAGGTAAAAGTAGAATCGAGTCCAAACTTACAGAAATATCTGGAGTCACAAGAAAATAAACTATCTGCCCAAAAGTGAGTAACTTAAGCAGTTAGGAAGATTCACTAGTCAGTAACAGAGTGGGAAGGGGCCTTGAAGGTCATCTAGTCCCAACCCCCTGCTCTCGCAGGAAACCTACACGATTTCTGATACTGTCTGAATCAGGTTTCGAACTGGGAAGGTCCTATTGTCCCCCAAAAACCCCGAAGTCCCGATTTCTCATCTGGGCTGAACATAAAATCCCAGCCACACAAGAATTTGCACAATGAACGGTTGCAGGACTTGGGTATGTCTCATCTAATGAAGAAGAGAAGGACTAGGGGTGATAGGATAGCAGCCTTCCGACATTGATGGAGAGAAGGTCAGCTTACTCTCCAAAGCACCAGAGAGGGCAGGGCAAGCTACAATGGATGGAAACTAAGTCAAGGAGTGAAGCAACCTAGAATTAAGAAGAAACGTCCTGACCGTGAGAACAATTAGCCAGTGGAACAGAAGTTGCCTTCGGACATTGTTGGGTGCTTCCATCACTGGAGGCTTTTAAGAAACTGGACAGCCATTTGTCAGGACTGGTCTAGGGTCCCCTGTTGAGCTGGGGGTGGACTAGCACAGTGGTGGCTAACCTTTTTGGGTTGCTGTGCTGAAAATTGTGCGCGCGCACATGTGCCAGCACCCAGAAGGCAATGCGCGTGGGGGGGCCTGCCCCCAGCGCGCACAGTCCCCCCCCCACACGCCGCTTCCTTACCTGCACAGCGCATGCACACGCCTCCCAGCTGATCTTTCGGTCTCCCAGAGGCTCGAGGGAAGCCTCTGCAGCCTTTGTAGGCCGAAAAATGGGCCCATGTCATCACTTCCTGTATTTCCGGAAATACCGGAAGTGATGAAACGGGCCTGTTTTTCGGCCTACAAAGGCTACAGAGGCTTCCTTCGAGCCTCTGGGATGCCGAAAAAGGCCTCAAATGGGCCAAACATCAGCAGAGAGCCCCCCACATGTACAACGCAGGTAAGTTTGGCTGGGGCTCGCGTGCCCACGCAAATGGCTCTGCGTGCCATAGGTTCGCCATCACGGGACTAGAAGATACCCAAAGTCCCTTCCAATTGTGTTTTTCTGTATTCCACCACTTCAAACCCTTCCACAAATGCGATTTGTAGAGGTTGCAACTTTCCAACTCCTCTTTAACGGAAGACTCTGATCACTTATCTGCAGGATGTTAACTGATGGTTTGCTTTTTCAGCAGGAAAGATAACGCATTAGCTCACAAGTTCCACTGGCTTAAGAATGAGCTGACCTTTGAGAAAAAGCCGCGCCGGATATCGGAAAAAAAATCTTCTCATGTAAACAAGAATGCAACAAGAATGCAACAGGCGGCCCCACACCTCACCTCAAATTTTGCAGCTACAGAAAGCTCCGAAACCTCCTATCTGGGAACAAGCACGCTGCT